CGGCATGAGGGCAGCGTTATGTTGGGGTGCAAATGAAGGTGATTGGGCCACTAAAGCACAGATCTGCATGCGTCATGTAAGATATGAAGTGGCCATTGTCAGCGGTTTTTTCAAAGCCGTCGCTTTGCACTCGTTGCGCATCTGCGCATTATTGTGAGTATTGAGTGTTAGAGTAGTTTCTAATTGGTCACACATACGATGGCGTTCTTTAAGGAAGTGTATTACAGGATATGTACATATGTGGAAACAATTTCAAGCAAGCCTGTCCCGAAATCACCAAAGAGGTAAGTTCGTGAACTAAACAAGATAACATCGAGATAAAACGAGATTCTAGTCGTGCAGCTTCACATGTGTGATGCCTCGCCGATTCATGGTAGCCAAGCACACAACACAAACCAGAAGAGATGAGGCAAATACAGAAAGAAGACTTCCGGCTGCGAGTGGCGAGACACAGATGTCCCCATTTGATGATTGACGAACGGATAAAGGATCTAAAAGGAAGCTTAAGTCTTTTAAAAATTCGGTATTGGATACATCAAAATCAGATACCCGTTGAAGTATCGTCGATATCAAACACTGTCATATACTGGGAGACGACGTCAACATTGTTATCATCCTCACTCTCAGAAGATCTTTTTCCTCTCAAAGTTCTTGGGCAGTCGTCTGATGTGCGCTGGAATATTCATCAAGAAATAAAGGTGCAACGATGTTGAACCGTGACAGTATTGGCTTTCTTCACCTTGCAAACACTTCCATCTTTTATGGTAATACGTATTTGACACTGGAAGAAAAGCGAAGGTTGGTCGGCAAATTTGAACACCGGAAATGCTTTGCTGAGTGTTTTGGTATGTAACGAGAGTTGAGGCAACCCACTTGGGACACTTGGCCTCCTGACAGGTCTGATGTGTACTCCAGATTGTTTAGGAGGTACCTGAACACCGTGCAGCTTTGGCACACAAACACGGTCTCGTACGCCCTCAGAGCGCCTTGCGAGAAAAACTACTTCATTAGAATTCATTAGACATGCCTGTCCACAGCGCATCCATTCTCATCGAGCAACTGCACTTCGCGTCCTCCGTCCTCCTTCACATTGCAGGAGTGAACCGTAGCACAAAAGGATGAGTCATCTAAAGAACGCAAGGGGTCCCAGCAGCTGATGCATTCAGCAGTAATTACAGCAAAAGAAACTCAAGTCAACCAACCTGCCAATTTTCCATCTGGGTCACATGTCCATTCGTGGTAGACTTGTTGACCTACTGAAGCAAATTTCAATGGTGTTCCATTTTTTCCCTCAGAAAGAACCTAGAATCAAACTATAAATCGCTCAGAAGTAATAAGTGCGAGACAAAAAAATCGTTCTACAGTTAGGGCAAAAAAAAAACTGCATAAGGATTGTGCATTATACGTTCTATTACGTTTGAAAGAGAGGCAATGCCCGAGCTTGAATTAATAATCAGGAACTGAAACTGTAAAAGGCTAAAATTTCTTAGTACCAGTACTTATGGTTTGTAATACACAACCGCACATATGCGAGGAACCCGAGAATGCTAGGGGCAGAGTTTGCCATTCACCATGCTACGTCATTTTCTTGCATGTATATATGGATGAGTGCATGTGTCTGCTACATGCAATAGCAAAGAAAAGGTTTGCAGGATACGCAACTACCCGATTCTTGACATCATAAATTGTTAAATGAATTTTGGCGTCAAACTTTGCGTGTATTACGATTCAAGCTAACCTTCAAGAACTTAAACGGATATGCTCTAGCAAATAGTATCCATCATTTTTGGGCTTCGTCTTGTCACTTTGCCATAACAAACAACACTCCTTCATGATCCAAAAATTACGCATGCGGTTTAAAGGAGCGAAAGGTCATCCGCAAGAGTATTTTTAGTGCAAAAATGGCTCTGCTGCATTTCCAGTAACCTTCTTTTCTCCAAAACTGTATTATAGAAGCAGCCGAATAGAAAAGAAAGCTGCGAGTCTGCACAAAAAGAGAGAGACACCCGAGTCCGCAACTCTGCGCCCTTCGCAACGGCGTATACCAATTTGGGATATATACTAGTTCTTATGCGCACAGTTGAAGATGCGGGTTTCTGCTACTTTACAAGCAATAGTAGACCTGGTATTTGCACTCCGGCAGCGGCACCGTAGCAGTGAGTGTTTCGCCATGAAGGTTGTGAGCAGGACTGAAACACAATTTAAGCGTTTGGAGTCACGCGTAGGGTCTCTGCAATGTGGTCTTCAATTGACCCTATCAAGAACAGTATCCCACTCGTGAAGAACATTTGACGGTCGACCTCCCTTGGATGCTCCTTCATCGCCAATGACAACGAGCACATTCCTCTGCATGTTTCCTCCTTCACTGGAAGCATATTCTTCCAAAACTTTTAGAAATGTGTCAAAATTGCTTCAAAATTATTGACCGTTATTGGTTCTGTACTTCGTTTATACTGGTAATCACTTCGAAGATAAATAACAGTACCTGACATTGAGGTTTTGAGTAACGGTTCTTGCTGTTTCAGCGTAGAAACATTGTACCCTATACGACTTGTCAATTTTTGTCACGAACATCTGAAATTAGCAAAGCAATATCAAAGCTGATGAAACCCAATCAGGTCGAATAAAACATGAAACTGGCTAGAAACAGTTGCAGAGCTGTGCTAAGTTCTGTCCACCAACTTATATTCACCCAAGAATGGTGTTACAAAAATGTGTTGCTCGGAATGTATCTCATGAATTTTCTCGAAGGGCGGCCCTGCAAGAAAATTGCCCTTTAATCGTAAAAATTTTGACGCCCCTTCCCCAAAAGATTTCTTCGGACATCGTTATGCCAGTGGCAGAGCTCCCGAGAATGGACGCGAATTTTTTGAAAGGCATCCACATGGATTATAAAGCTGTGCAAACGACTTGTTTATTTATTAATTGTGGTAGAAAAACTAAAGATTTGGACTAGCTTTGTAAAAAAAAAATTTGGGGCGTGGCTATTGCCCCGAACGAGGTTTCTCGCACCGCAGCTAGTGTGTATATGTCAGGTGGGGTCCCAAAAATCTGTCCTGGACGGTGACATCTAAGTAAATTTGGGACGCCTCTCATTTTTTGACTGTTGATAATTAAGATACCTGCATGTTTCTGTAGCACTTGTAAACTACTTACAAAGGTTCCTGCAATTAGTTTAGGGGAGGGGAAGGGGTACGATTCTTCCCTTTGTGCAACCTTTTTTTCAGTAATCCGCTCCTAATTATTTTCGCCTGCCTTTCCACCGTAAGAAGAAACTGCCCGACCTATGGACCAAAAGTTCAAGGCTTTGTGCAGGAAATCATGACTGTTTTGCATCTACTGATGTCTCAAGGATACCTCGATTTAACAAATTGAGATATTCAAACAGTGTTTAAGCAGCAGTTTCGGCGCGTCTGATATGCGTTAATATAGCATTTGTAGGTGCTTATAAACAATAATTTCATCAAATTGAGGCTTGACACAAATTTTGAATAGAACCCTTTTGCCATAGCGAAGGTGGAAATGAAGAAAGAAAACAGCACAATGCTAGCGGAAATCAACGAAGAGCTGAAAGAAGTGCTGGGTGGCTGTTTCTAGATGAATATTGTAATCACTGCAGCGCTGACTACTTGGTATCTTTTCCCAACACAATTTCATTATTTATGCCCAGGCAGCCTTATCTGTGTATTAGGATTGAAAGAAATGGTAAAAAAAAGCTAGCAGGACTTGTCAGAATGACGTGCAAACCATCTCTTGCATCCTTCGGAAAGGCCGACTTGAAAAATGGGAAAACTGGCTGCCTGAGTGCAGAGACCGAACCATGACCCCATGGGTTACTGTGCTTTATCATTTCTAGTAAGACCGGTGCGCGCAGAAACATTATCCAAAAAATTCACAATATTTTCGTAATTTTCCTGCCTTGACCTACGACCTCAACATGTTTGCTATACATAGTTTGCTGAGTGCGTGCACCTTTTTGAAATTCTACAGGATTTTTGTGTGAGATTCGAAAAACAACTGCACGAGGCAGGCACTCCTTTTCCCGACAATTACGCATTCAAGATGGTAATGGAAAACCTCAACAGCGCGTACTATCTACTTTCCATCATGTGCATAAGACACTTATTTTTGATTCCAGTGGATCAATTCAACGTTTGTTCCTTGCGTGGGCGACAAGGCAACATTGCCAGTGTCATCCCACGACCTTTCACGGAGTAATAAGTTTGCCCTTTATTCAGAAAATCATTTTCAGGGTCATCTAGTGGAACCTGATGAAGACTGCTTTGCTTCACAAAATGTGTGAACGCTTGGAGACGACCGAATTGATCTCACGCACCTTTTTAGACATTGGTCACATATGGCCTTTTGTCTGACAATTTCCTTAGATAGAGATGTACTCTGTTTTGTAAAGGCCGTTATGATGTTGGAAACCAGTTGCAACATTCAGTGGGAGGGGCAGGTTATAGGAAGGAATGTGGCAAACACTATTCATTAGCCTACTGTAGAAAAAGAGTTTACTCCGAAACATGCAATCGTTGCTAGGCATTAACTCGGAAAGCAAAACAACGTTATCTTAAAATATGCACAGTAAGCCTATAGAGATTCAGTATACTCACCGGGTGAAAAGAAATAATGATGGTCGAAACGAGGAGAAGACCACGGGGAGAATTCTGGAATAGCGATTATTAACGTCGCAACGTCAAATTAAGCCCTTGCTCGCATATATGGAATCGTATGCCATGTGGTTGAAGCACCTATTGACCTCCAGTAATAGCCGTGCTTGAGTGCTACGGATTATTATGGCTATATTACAGCATATCTAGTTGGAAAATCTGCAAAGGACGCATTAAGGCTTTTTCAGTTTTAAATACCCTTGTGTAGGGCAAGAAAAGCTGTCCCCATTGTACAGTCTCCCCCTCTATCCTTCGTTTGTTCCTCCTGGTAACATCGCAAATTTTTGAAGAGATTTTGCGTCACATTCAATGCCAACGCTGTCTAATCGGGTAAACATGGTTGCGCTAGGCCGAGTGGTTACGGCTCATTGTAAGACCCAAGTTTGTTCAAACTTTATAGGCATCCGAGACTTGCACATACTGTAGAGTCATTATGAAGTCAATCTTGCACTATCAGTGCGCTTCGCTACACAAAAACAGATTTTGGTTGAAA